TTGATGAATAATTCCATATTCTAAACATATTTGTTCAAAAGGAGATTCATATTCACTACCCCTATCACTTCTTATCATTTTGATTTTCTTATTAAGTTGCGTTTCAACTTCATTTTTGTATTGCTTGAATGCGTCTATTGCTTCATCTTTACTATTAAGTAAGTAAATATAGCAATATCGAGTACTATCGTCAATAAAAGTTATGAAATACTTTTTTCCACCGCGAGATGGTATTGACTTCATGTCACAAATATCTGTGTGAATTAAGTCTAAAGGATTTGAATTCCTTTCAACCGACTTATAAGGATGTTTAACATACTTTGATTCCACACATACTTGACATTTTGATTTGTCACATTCAAACTTGGGCAATACTTCCAAATTAATCATTCTCCGTAAGGTTTTTTAATTGACATGACCCAAACGTATGTGCCATAATTCATTTGACTCAAGTAAGTAAGACGAAGCTGAAATTTTATTATTATTTTCAACAACCATTACATTCAGCTTGAAAAGGCCCTCAGTGAGGTAACCTTTTCCTACAAACATTTCATTCTTACTTATTACAACCATATCGGAAACAAAAACACATTTAAAATCATTCTTAACAAGAAGTCCAGTAGAGACTAAATTCTTCCTAATCTCGGGAACATGAAGGACATTGTTCAAAGTCACCACTTTGCCGGAAGTCATTTTGAGAAATATCTTCCCACATCCTTCAATCTTGGCCTTTGAAGCATTTTCAATAGAAATCATCTCATCGGGTCCAACAGGAGCATAAGTAGGAAGAGCTTCTCTAACAGCACAAACATGGCGAGTGGCTCCAGAATCAATCCACCACTCTTTAGGATTGCCCACCAAGTTGCATTCGGAAAGCATGGAACATAAGTCATCAACATCATCATGCTTTTCAACCATGTTTGCTTGACCCTTCTTCTTGTCTTTCTTCGGAGCACGACACTCCGTAGATTTGTGTCCGGTTTTTCCATAATTGTAGCAGTTTCCACTGAATCGCTTCTTGCTTGGGTTGTATTTCGGTCCAGAAGCCTTCTTCCTCTTTTTGTTCTCTTCAACAATATTTGCTCCCATTATTGTTGAGTTCCCACGGCCTCTCTTTTCAGCAGCTTTGTTGTCCTCTTCGATTCTCAACCGAACAATGAGATCTTCAAGGGACATCTCCTTACGTTTGTGTTTCAAGTAGTTTTTGAAGTCCTTCCACAAAGAAGGCAACTTCTCAATCATCGTTGCTACTTGGAATGCTTCATTGATGACAAGACGTTCAATGAAATTTCTGTTAGTAAAAATACTAAGATTACTACTTTCAACATCAATATTAATTTGATTTATACCTTCAGCAAGGAGATCGTGAATAATCACTTGCAATTCCTGGACTTGGGTAATAAAAGACTTGCTATCTACCATTTTGTAGTCCAAAACATTGCAGCAACAAACTTTTTCAATCCGGCATCTTCGGTTTTGTATTTCTTTTCAAGCGCAGTCCACAATATTTTTGACGTTTCCACGCCACTGTAGACGTTATACAAAGCATCCTCCAACCCGCTTAGAATATAATTCTTTCACAAAAAATTTGAATGCTTCCACGCCTCAATCACGAGAAAGCGTTCAGTTTCTGGAGTTTCATCGGGCAGCACAGGGACATCTTCCTTGATGAACTTCTGGAGACTTAGAGTAGTCAAATAGAAGAACATCTTTTGCTGCCAGCGCTTGAAATTAATCCCGGAAAATTTTCCAAGTTTCTCCGCCGGTGCCAATGCTGCCGGTGTTGTTTGGCTCGTTGACGCATTGGCAGTCACCGTTGGAACAGCTTGGTTCACATTATCATTAGTCATTTCTATAAAAGAATGACACAAACGTTAAAATCACGTAGATTTTAATATCCAATAGAGTACAAAATCACAAAGGTTTTACTCTCCAAAAACAGTAAGTACAAATACAGAATATACGTTAAATTCCTTATGCTTGTTAGTACACTGTATTTGTAAAATAATTCTGCAAATATAAATGAACATAAACAGAAATGAACATAAACAGAAAACCAATTCGAGCCCACTGAATTCACAGTGTTTCCTTAAGGAATTTAATCCCCTCCTAGTACCCAAGGTTATGGATTATTTCCTCCCAGGATAGAACGAATTACACACTGGTGTAGTGGTACTTCAAAACCCAGTGTTTCAGCGAACACAAAGTTCGGTAGCAAATCGCACTTACTGTTGCTTTGTTTGATGCTAAAAGTATGCAGAAGAAGGAGGAGAAACTCAGAAAATCGTAGTGAAATTCTGAGCAGAATAGTGTTGTATTTATAGCCAAAGTTGGGCTGAAATCTAAAGAGGTGCAACTCTTCAGAATGGCTGTTTATGCAAAACGGCCATAGCATAAATGACATTACATAAATGGTCATTTACTCAACAATAAAGAGGGAAAATAAAGAGGAAAAATTGAAGAGGGTAGTTAATTTTCCGTTACCAAAATAGAAAAACAGATTGGATTTAATATTAATATTTAATATTAATATTTATGTTATTAAAATAAATATTTAATAACATTTCTGTTAATATTTTACTATTAACAAATAAATTTGGTCCAAAAAGTTAATCAATCAATCATTTGACCGAAGCCGAAGCCGAAGCCAGCCGAGCGAGCGACGACGATGGCGCGAGGCTTGCCTTCTTCTCAACTCTTTACGAGCTAGAAGAAGAGCAATTGCTTATATACCCATAAAAAACCTCTTCCTCTTCCAATATGGGACAATGTCCATTTACCAAGGGAGGGAAACTTAAAATTTCACTTAAAAATTTCATTTCCCTCCATTTCCGATTCACCCTCTTTTATGTATTTAATATATATTAAATACAAAAAACCCAACAGGTTATGCAAACAGTCTCGAAGTCGAAATTCTTGAGTCTTTGAGACTTTAAATTCGATGCGGTAATTTTCAGAATTGGCAATCGGCATGTACTTTCTTACTATTTGATGAATTCTCTCCAGCTGGTTTACCATCATGTTTACCCCGCTGGGTTTTTATTTTTTTATTTAAAGGCATTTGGGAGTTCGAAGCGCAAACTCATGAATCTAGTAGCAGTTCACTTTTACATCATCTGCATACATAAATCGAAAAAAAAAAAAACTTAATCCGAAAAAACAAGAAAGAAAACCAAAATATATATAGGAATGGAGGTAAATCACACTTTTTACCCATTGCTTAGTTTATACAAAAAACTTATCTAAAAAAATATTACTCCATCTTTTTAGATGACTTAAGTTCTTTCAATTCATCTTGGCTAGACTTGAGCACCGCAGTGATTCAATTATCCTATAATCGATCTGCACTCTAAATATTATGAAGATATATAGGTCTCACATATAAATGAGTTCAAGTAGTATTAAGGTAATGTTGTATAATTAATACTCAAAGAAATGTATCCTGAATTAATGCACATAACATCTAGGTATAACATGAAAAAGAATTACATCTAAAGCCTCCATGCGTCCTTGATATACAGTCAAACCTCCCTATAACAACATCGTTTGTTCCGAAATTTTTTGGCTTTTATAGTGAATGGCTATTATATATACACCTATAACAATATTTGACATTTAAATATAACAATGTAGATTACATTTACATGCTATTGGTAATTGTCCAATATAAGATATATCATGTGTACATCTTCAAATAAAAAAAAGAATGATGTGCATAGCTTCAAAAAAACTAGGCTTTTATAGTAAATGAGTGTTATATAGGGATGCTTTTTATAGAGAGGTCTAACTGTCCATGTATGGAAAGCGGGGTGTGCTAGATTATATTTGATGTTAATGAGAGTAATTTGTAGATTTTACTAGTACAACTTTTGGAAGGAAAAACCGCAGTTAACAGATCAGGGGGTAGCAAGTCCGGTCAGGGGGTAAAACAGATCAAATATCCTTAAGCTAGAACATGCATTTTTTAAAAACACAAGTGTAAAATTAAACACGCGTAACTTGGGTTAGTATACTATTAACAGACTGCTATACATAGGAGATATATAATTCCTTGACTCATGCATGCCCTTTACGGGTTTCAAAATATTATTTAAGTTACATAATAAAACACACGATATTATGGCAAACATAACATTAATTTGAGTTTCCTATAAAAGAACTGAATACGCTTCACTACCATAATGTACTGGGATTAACTTATGAGGTATGCCATTGTAAAAAAAACAATTATATTATTAAGTCATCTAAAAGAAATGCGCAGGTAACCCTTTATTAAGTGTGGCATTTGTCATCCTAGTACTCAAAATTACTTGATACAATAGATAAAGGTGACTTGACGGTGTAAAAGTTCTTTACACTGTCGATAAATATGACTTAAAGTCTAATATACTCTCCTATTCCAGTTTATATGATACTATTTCCTTGTTAGTTCGTTCCACAAAGAATGTCACATTTCTATATATGAAAATAAGTTAACTTTACACTTCATATTTTACCCTAAAAAATAAACTTTATAGCTATACAATAATGTTATGACATATTTATGATCACAAGTTTCAAACGCAAACATTATGGCATGTTTAAACCCACGAATTTCAAAAGTCCTTTTTTCTTTTTTAAAACTTGTATGGGATCAAACTACATATAATTGGCATGGAAGGAGTAACTTAATGGAGAGGCAACATACATCCTATCAAGCAAATTAGATTTCTAACTAACACCATCGATCAACTCGTTACTAGTAAACACCAAATGTATATGTATTAATTAGTATCGTTTCAAAACCTGGCTGAATTGAAAGAATAAAAAAAACCCATCTTTCTTCACGAAATATTGTGTTTTTAACTCTTATTGATTCCTAAGTGCACATTCCCATTCCATCCTACTCGATCTGCGCCGAAACAGATACACATGCATATAATTAGATCACCAAGGAGATTCCAAAAAGAATGACAAAATAAAATCATCAAAGTCCCTCTACATAATTTGCACTGCTAGCAACTGACAACTTAAGTAGTATTCAAGATAGCTAGGTGTACACAAATGTCAGGGGGGACAAGAGCAATTGAATTGTTTTTTCACTTATTCCCATTACCCAATGTTGAAGAGTGAAAATTCAGATAAACAATAGTAACTAATTGTTGCCTAGAATTCCTCAATGATATATTATTAGTATCTTTTATGCATACAAATTGGGAATAACAACAAAGGCGACATTACCTTGCACAGTAGTAGCTGCTAGAATATACATAGGACAAAGATTTGCTGCAAATGATGTAAGTAATTTATCAATTCCCATCAACAAGTACCTCAATATCTCACTTAGAATATTGTCTCCATTCACAAAGTCAGATCTAGGGTACTTGCCATCCTTGCACCTTGATTTTGTTGATCATCCATTGAAGTAGTTGAGGAGGAGAACAAAGAAAGAGAAAGAAGATTCCCAACTTGTTCAGCTTTTAATCTTTTCTGATGATCATCATCCTCTCTTGTTATTTTCAGTGAAAGGTTCAAGTCAAGATTGATTTCTGAATCTTGAATCTTTCTTTTATTGGGTGCGCATGTTGTTGTTGTCCCTGCTTCAGTCGTCCAACCTTTACCCCTCGAGGAAAGAGAATTATTATTTCGCATTTGTGTCTTCATAATTTCTTGCTCTCTGATCCCTCCATCTCTATCTCTATCTATTGGTAATGTCATTAGGAGATTTTGTTTTGTAGAGCTTGTTCCAATTTGAGTACTCCAAAATCTTTGATTATGAAAGTGTTGAGGGTTTTTCTCAATTTGAAGGGTTTTATTCCATGGAAATAGTGGTCCGTGTGAGTGACCGTGGCTTGAAAAACCATGTCTAGTACTTAAACTTGAGGCACTCCCAATGTTGATGTTATAAGGATTGTACAAAGAAGAATTTACTTGACGACTCCATGTAGAATCATCGTATCTGGAATAATTAGAACAAAAGATATGGAAAAAATTATTAAACAATGAAATCCAAGTTTATTAGGGATAAATTATGAGATTAATATTTATTTGTACCTTAAGCTTGAACTAGAAGCTTGGTTAAACGTCCCTTGTAGCCTAGGAAAATGGCTTAGATTGAAAATATGGTGATCTCCGTTTTCAAGTAGGAATCTTCCATCAGTAGAAACTGCAGATTACCGTCGGATTAAGAACATGGTTAGCAACAAGCATAGCAGAAACCCTAGTTTTGGGACAACTAATTAATGAGATAATTAAAAAAAAAATAACTTACTTTGATTGGGGTCATCAGTCTTCTTGCTTCTGTACATCTAAATTGATTTCCATATAAAAATAATTAGTGAAACCAGAAATTAACTGAGTTTTCAAAGCAAAATCAGCCTGTAATTGGAACTGAAAATTAATATGTAAATTGCAGAAAATATATATACCTGAAGATGGCTCTTGACATGAGCTATGCTAAGTCCTTTAATGTTCATTAATTGAAGAACCAATTTCGGTGTGGCTCCTGAAAAATAAATAAAAGCAAGTTATTAGAAGCTTGAAATTACACTATAATAAGTACTTTGGAAGATGTATCAAATTAACTATGATGTGAATAAATAATCTCATCAATGAATTAGCGATAGAAAGAATGGATTCACACCAAGAATTTCTTCTACAAAAGTTAGGAATTAACTTGAGATCTTTCTCTTTGAATAAGATGTCAATTTCAGCGATACAAGTAAAACTTACTGTCTTGCCCTCCTAATCTTTCAACAGCATGAATAAAGCGAAGATGGAGCTCAGGTGTCCACCGTAGCCTCGGCGTTTTCGAGCGTACATACTGCCGTACACCTCCAGAGTTGGTCGACTTTTTCCCATTCTCTTCTACGGTGCTGTTACTAGAGCTCGTTCTTGTACCTTTAGGTAATTTGCTATTTTCTTCTGTCTCGAGATCGTCTTCCTCCTCCTCCTCCTCCTCCTCCTCCTCCTCCTCCTCTTCTTCTTCAAATTCAATTTGGTTTTTGGGGCTTGACTTGGAATCTTCTGCACTACTTCCTCGTTTCATCCTGTTCCTTTTTTCTTCTTCCGAAAACCTAAATAAGAGTTGAAATTAAACCATCGAGAAAATAGTTCTGTACAGGCAAATTAGTGGAAAGACGGTTTTGGAAAGTGTTGCCTTTGTTTTTCCTTAGCAACTAGAGGAAAACGAAGACTTATTTGTTAAGAAGATATCAAACCTTCTTGCACCCAAAGAAAAAGTTGCTAGAATTAGGAATGAAATTTCTTCAACTGGCATATAAAGAACAATTCTCTCTCTCCTTCTTTATGTCTGTTTCTTGTTCTCTCTTTCCATTTGTGGACTTTTTTTTAATCATGTGTGATTTGCATGGATGATGCCGTAAGTACATGGACATGTATGGTGATAAATACGTGCATGTGTACGTGGACTCTTATGTTTATGTCTATGTGTGTGTATGTATTTGTGTATAAAATAGGCATATAAAATTGTAAACCTAAAATTCCAGTCAATTGAAGTAAGTAAATGGCACATCCAAGGGATAATATTTACCTAACATACCAAGTTGCATGTGTATAACAACTCAACAAGATGTTCTTCTCCGTCTAGAGCTATATTTTTATCATGTTGTTGCCAAAAAAATGAATTAAAACAGTTATGCTTAGTACTATCATTAAATAGTCATATTTTGACCCAGTGTTTTACTTATTATTACAGTCGTCAATTACTACCCCATCTATTCAAGTTATATGATAGTATTCTGAGTTTAAGATGATAATTTAACTTATACTATATTTTGTTAATAATAGTGGAAGAAAAATATCAACTACTAGTTAGTTAAAAAGTTAGGAGAATGATCATGCGGAAGTTTAATTAAATTCTGAATTCTTTAATAAATTTGACTTTTCGGAAGTGGTAAAAAATATATAAACATGGAACTTTATCAAACATTGTGGATTGTGTTCCAAAACAGAAAGAGTAATCATATAAATTGGAAAGGAAGGGTTTTTTTTGTTGTATGAAATATAATTACAGAAAAGTTAGATGAGAAAATGTAAGCTAACGTGATTTCCTTTTACGTATTCAAGACATGTTTAAAATATTAAGCCCAATATAATAGACTTTCAACATGACAACATCGGAAGTACTAAGAATAGCAATTCATATATAAAGTATGAACTGCAGAATGACATTGATTTTTATAAGTACACTTGATAATGCCACAAAAATCATCATCAAAGCATTATTGACATTGTTTGAGAAAAGCAAATACTTACATTTAGACATGCAAATAGGATACAAAATTATTTCAACCTAGCTAGTAAGTAAAGAAAAGAGAAGAGAGAAAAGGTCTGTGGTTATAAGTATTTTGTTCTTCTTTTTTATTTTATTTTTTTATTTGCTTTTTGTTATGTTGTAAGCGAGAACTCTTCCTTCTTAAAGTCGGAAGTGTTGAATACATTATAATTAATTAGTTAGAACTTAAAAGTGTTCATGTTCCAACAACTTAGGTTTTTAATTAGATGAGTTAGTCACATATTTTAACATTTTAACATGATATTAAAGTAGATAGATGTCATGGGTTCGAGTCGTATCGCCACTCATCGTTACCCTCTTGAGTTTTGAAGTCAACGATTTCTCAATAAGCCCCCTTAATTTCAACAATATTTTGTTAACGAAAATCCCAGTGAATCATGATCATCTTTTTTGCTGATCTCTAACAAGATCAAGATTCTCTACTTGGAACGTCTCAATTCGATTTATGATTTGCTTGGCTAAACTTGATTAATGCAGACAAATTTTATAAATTAAAATAACACTGCCAACTAATAAGTAATTGTAATTCTTTTTAACCCTTTGCAAGTGGAGATCTTTGGCGGCCGGGCATCTTGCTAACTTTGTGTCATCTCTCTGATAAAAAAATATTGTTCAGTAGAACTGTGTCTTTGTCCGAGTGTTTCGAGAAGTGCTTAAAGACAGAAATGGTCAGATCTGCAACGTTCATTTGTCTTAGACAAGAGTATCTTTAAATTAATATGAAATGATAAAACTAGATGGTACCACAGTCTAGATAACTACTTTCATATGTCTGAAATTTATAAGATTTGAGAATCTCATCTCTGCACATGCTGAAATATGCTTCTATAATTAAGCCAAATTCCAAAATTATACCTCATATATGCATGATAAAATTCATCACTATCAGTATAGTATAAGTTCCGACCATTTTCTTCAGTTGTTGCGTTGCATTATCCGAAATTATGAGCCATGAGACTATACAGCCAGAAAACAACAAGGGCGATATCGGTTAATAGCAGAACTGCTCAACCAATGAACCAAATTAAGGATTTAGGGGTCGGGTTGGAAGACAAGTTATGCAGAAATTATTTACTACAGGAATTATAATAGAGTTTGAAATTTACCGGTTAATAAAAACAATGCGAGTATTAGTAATGCAAAGATTACAAAGTGTAAATTATTTCTTGTTTGGATATTTATTTTCAAGGTACGCACATATACTTTGTCGAAGTTTATGAGGCCGGATGACCCTAAAATCCTAAATGTCGTCCACCTTTTGTTCAAGACCACTATAATTCAGACCTAATTAATCCACTTATCTATAACATAATATATAAGTAAACTGACACCGCTTGCATAAAATTTTGTGTATGTGGCTAAATATAGGAAATTTCCAGAGCGCGCCTAACATAATAAAGGGATTGGGGAAAAGTTTTGCAATGAGACCACAAGCGTGGTTGGCCAAAAGGTTACAAGACAACCATACAGTCTTAATAACTTTGACCTAAAAGTTTCTTTTTTTCTTCTTGTTGCTTGTGATAGGAGAAGCCAATACATTCTTTGTTCGTGCGAACTGTCACTGGGATTTACAGATTGAAACAGCAGCTATATAGCTTTCTACTTTTGCCATATGAACTACACTTCTCACTTCACGAGCTTCTTGAGAGATCTTAAGCACAGCCGTCCAAGAGAAAACAAATAAAGCTATCTGCTCTTGTGATTGATTTTGTGCGTGGAAAGTTTAGCTTCCATTTCCATATAGTACCCCCCCCCCCCCCCCAACAACAACAACAACAATGCGTGTCTGGTATTTACTCTTCATTTTTCAGTTTAATCAACTGTATTTGTTATCAACTACGTGCATTAGGGACAAAGTTTACTACACTTATCCGTACAATTTAACTTTTTAAAATATTTCCTACTTATCGGGAAAAAGAAGTACAGTTGTTCTTATAAGTGATAACAGGAAATTATCACATTTCGTATCTGTAAATTTTAAGGACCTTTATCTATCGTTTCTTGATTTTTACACGCTTAATTATGTCCCGATAAGCAAGCAAACGTTAGATGACAGTTACTCAAACTAGCTAGTCATCGCCGGCATAACTAATGCCAGCAATTTCAGAAAATCATTTCTGAATTTGTTGTTTTTTCTCCTGATTTTCAGTAAAACGTTACTAAATCATACATAATTAATTTCATCATCAAAATTAAAACATCAGATTGGATATACACTTGAATATGGTGTTTGCTAATCTATTACCACCACACGTATACACATGTACTTCTTTATACACATAATTCTTTGAGGGACATTCGATAATTTAAAGATGCGTAGAAATTAGAATAGTCCTTGAGCAAGAAAGACACAAAGTATTTTCCTACTCTTAGGATGTTATATCATAATTCTTATTTTTAAATGTCAAGACACAATATTAAACTCGAGCTCAAAGAACGTAAAAAACCTTGTTACCATTTCCGATCCTTATTTTTAAACTTGTTAGTGTAATCAAAAACCTTGTAAAATAGAATGACTATGGTGGTTCTAGCCATGTAGGAGAATGTGAATAAACACTTTAACACGCTTGCAAAAGTTGAAGGGAGGGCAAAAGTAGGTGTATTGTCTTGTGAATATTATTAAAATACAGGTTGGTCTGCAAGATTCACTTCCGAGAACCCAACCTGTAAAGTCAACTCCCAACAGTACCTATGTTTTCTTCTGTTTATTAATTTTCTAATATAATATCCTCCTCTTTTTTTTATCATATGTTTGAAATTCGTGAAGCTATTAATGCGGATCTATCATCCTTAGAGAATGAAGAGGCATGTCTGTCTTTTTCTTAATTTCCCAAGTTAAAAACTTGTCATTGTCCATCATTCATTCGTTCATACATACATACATGTTACATGAATTAATGAATGCATGATAGAGTCCTTTTATGCTTCCACGAAATTTCAGAAGACCAGAGAGTCACAACTGCTACAATATAAAATTTCATTAAATATGTTGATGGGAAGAAGAAATCAATATTCCCTACTTATTCTTTAGTGTCACATCCTACCTTAAAAATATACAATTAAACTTGATAGGATAAGGTGGACCGTTGATCAACTGAAAGTTGTTGAAATCGGACGGTGAAATGGCCTGCATGAATACCTAAAAATGCTTCTAACTTAATCGGGAATTCAAAGGGATATTAAAAGGGGATGAAATTCATCTACCCTAACGTATGCATGGCTGAAGGAGAATAAAAATGGAGGGATTCAATAATTGTGCCCAAAGGTATTGTTCGTCTCTTTGTCAAAGCATTTTCTGTGTCCCACGTGAGTGACATCTCACCAGCCATGTTCGATCTCGTTGTTGTTCATCGATGTGATACTGAAACTAATACTACACTTTTTAAAATGGAAGAAAAAAAGGAAATAAAAATGAATTAATTATCAAGCGAAGTATTTTTCATTAATTGAACAACTATGAAATTTAGCTCTTCTTTTTTTTTTTTTTTAGCTCAAGAAGACATTATATATATATAAACTAACTGTTATAACTGTATGAGGTAAAATTGGTAAATTACAGGCGGATGCATGACGAGTTGACACGTGAAAGCAAATACAAGTAAGGTATGAGTTAGCAAATAGCTGGCACCAGTTACGGGCATGCAATCGGTGCTGGGTACGTTCCGAAGATAGCAAATTCGAGGACAAAGATTTGAATGGAAGATATCGGTTGGGAAATGTAGCACTCAATGAGCAATTGTTATAAAGAATCTTATCATTTATGTACATTTGTTATTCAACCATCGAGGGTGGTTTTATTCATATTAAAGAAGGGCTTGATTTGGGGCTCTTGTCTCCCTAAATAGAGCTATAAGTAGGAGAATTTGTATCTATTGAAGGAAATAAAACATTTTGTACGCAAAAGCTAAAATATGTTCTTATACTATCAATCTAGTCTTTTTCTTTTGTTCTTGATATTGTTCTTATCATTGCTTCCGGAGAAG